ATTTTTTTCTTAAGGAGACTGGAATTGAACAAAATTCTCTTGGGCTGCTGAAGTCTGCTGCTTCATTTATTTTCGACTCAGGCTTCTTTTTGTCACTGATTTGGAAACAGTGAAAGGCCACCAGTAAACAATACCTCACATAGGAATAGCCTTCAGGAGGCCTCAGAGCCTTCCATGTTTTTAAAAATGTTTATCTTTAAAATGAGAATACGAGCTAATTGCTTTTATGCAAATTTCAGAGACAGCGTGAGCGAGCTCCCTGGCAGGCAGAAGCTGGATGTCCTGGTTTCCTGACTGCTCCCACAAATGCCCTCTGTACCCTGCTGGGTTCCACCTGGCCACGCTCCAGTGCCTCTCCCGGAGGAAGGCATGCCAAATTCCTGACACGTGGCGTTTGAAAATACCAGGGAACGTTTCCACTCGTGGATTTCACTATGTTCTCCAGTGAGTATTTTAGCAAGCTAAAAATGTGACTCCTCAGTCATGAGGACACCAAATCCATACGATTCGAAAACAGCAATAATGCTGGAACTTTGATCTAATTATCAGCAAGTCCTCTTCCAGGAGATTAAATGTCTTATAATATTTTATCATTTGCTTAGCGGGTATTTATCCTTTAGTGAAAACCAGTGGTCTTCAAAGACAGCAGCAAAAGATGCTGACAAGTCATTTAAATGGCTAAGTGGTTACTCTTGCTGGCCTAATAAAAGTCCATTTCTAGGAAGATGAAACCTGAGCTTCCTATAAATCATCAATTATCCCAGATAATGGTAACAATATAGATATTTATACTCAGGGTTTTGATTTCCATGCCTTGTGTTTCAACTTCACATCAGGAAGGTTTTTAAAATTTTATTTATTTATATATTTTGAGACGGAGTTTCTTTTTTTTTTTTTTTTTTTTTTGAGATGAAGTCTCACTCTTGTTGCCCAGGCTGGAGTGCAATGGTGCCATCTTGGCTCCCTGCAACCTCTGTCTCCCGGGTTCAAGCGATTCTCCTGCCTCAGCCTCCCAAGTAGCTGGGATTACAGGCATGTGCCACTACACCTGGTTAATTTTGTACTTTTAGTAGAGATGGGGTTTCACCATGTTGGTCAGGCTGGTCTTGAACTCTTGACCTCAGATGATCCACCCGCCTCAGCCTTCCAAAGTGCTGGGATTATAGGCGTGAGCCACCGCACTCGGCCTGGCAGTTTTAAATGAATGAATTCATCTGTAAGCTTTTGAATGGAAAAATCAAAGTAGAAAGAAGCATATTGTCTTACATCATTTTACAAATCAAAACATACTTAAATTGTCTTTCTTGTGTTAAGAACAAACCCCAAGTGCCTGATCAGCTGCTTTGTTTCCATGAGGGAGAAATACAGTTATGTAGCTGATGTCAGGGAAGGTGGAGAATTTCCTCAGCCACCCAAGAAGAAAGATAAGGAGGCCCTTATACACCTGCCGTCTAATCTTAGAAAGATCTCATGGAGATATGGTGGACGTAGAGCACAATCCTCTATCCCTGAAGAACATTTTCCAAAGCACAGATGTTTTCTCTTAATTGTGAATGCTGGCTGACTTGTCCATATCCTTTCTCAGTGCTCAGCAGATGGTACGATTTGGGACTGACTTGTTCCCTATAACGTGAGGCTGATGTTCTTTGCTACGTGGAAAACACATCTTTGGTGAGACAGAAATGAATCAATATTACACAAAAATGTTTCCATTTCTGGAATTTCCCTGAGATAAAAATATCTTTCTGGCTTTGGGTATACATAAGTGACCGTGAGGACACTTAGTAAAAGAGAAAACAGATTTTCAATACTTTGTGGTGATGGTGATTATATGGGATTATAAGTAAAGATTTTCCTGTTGTATCATTTTGGAAACAAAAAGTTGACTCATTTTCTTGTTAATGCTTCAATATTTTCATTAGGGAGTTTCTAAAAAGTCTTTATCTGAATCACAGAAAGTACAATTATTTCAGAGGTAGGATAAAATTTTATCTGTCATAAACAGCACTGTGTACTAAAACCTGCTATGAGTTTAACAAATCACCTAGAAGTCTAATGCTCAAGAATGCAATATATCAAGTAAAACACTGAAAAGTTCAACTATAATGCAAGTGTGGAAGTGCAAGATTGACTAAAACTTTTAAATATTATCATTTCTATTAACATGCTAATTAAATTCATTTTATTGGAGTATTTTAAGTTCCTAGCAATTGAATAGCACTTTTTACTACAAATATTTCATCATTTGGATGAACATATTCTTTTATTTACCATTTGTCAGGTTTTGTATGCTAAACTGCAACTGCTTATATATGCTGATCAAGTATCTCAAGGATAAATTAAAACTCTTAGTAAAAATCCAACTGACTGTTACAGACCACAAAAAGTACTATTTTAAGCCTTTGGGGGCTTAAAAATTGTGTGTGTCTGTGTTTATTTACATGGTGGGAGAAAAAGAACTTTCCAGGTAATTGTGAATGGGACACTGTTATATAAGAGTTAAAAAAGCACTATTTCTGTACAATTGAAGTTCCTAACTCATGCTTTCCTTTTTTTTTTTTTTTTTTTAGGCTTTTGCAATTTTTATTGTGGAGCTGTATTTATACTGTTAGTTTCAGGATATCTCAGGCGGAGTTTTGCTCATTGCCCATGCTGGAGTGCAGTGGTGCAATCTCGGCTCACTGCAACCTCTGCCTCCCAGGTTCCAGCGATTCTCCTGTCCAAGTAGCTGCGATTACAGGTGCCCGCTACCACATCTGGCTATTTTTGTGTATTTTTAGTAGCAATGGGGTTTCACCACATTGGCCAGGCTGGTCTCGAACTCCTCACCTCAAGTGATCCTCCCACCTCGGCCTCCCAGAGTTCTGGGCTTACAGGTGTGAGCCACTGCACCCACCCCATGCTTTAGTCTTAAACTGATTTTGAGTTGTACATGAAAGGCCTAATAATCAGAAAAAGACTATTTTTTAACTTACCTGCTCAAATATTTTGAACCTCTGAATCTGGAAAATAATGTTGATTTTTGAAACTGATGCCGTGCCAACTCTGGGGAGCACAGTACTGAACTGCTGCTTCCTTGTCTTGGTGAATGCACATTGAGTGCCTTGTCGTCCTCTGAACCCACCACCGCTAGGGACTGCTATCGGGGAGGAGCTCACTGCACCTCAGAAGTCAATGTTCAAAGTCACTGTGAGGACCTGGAAGTGAAGTTACACAGGAGACAGAAAGCTGAGGCACAAGATGCCCCCAAGGTGGGAGTCATGTTGAAAACTTGGAAAAATATCTCTGTACAAAATCTATGCAGATCTTTAGAGAACAGGCCAGACCTGTGCTGACTTAGGTACTGCCTAAAATGTCACTATATGAGGAACCATTTCAGTAGCATACTACCCACGCTTCTCTGAGCCAAGGATGTTCCTAGCATTGCCTTTAGTCTTATCTTTTAAGTGAAAATAAGGTTTTATACATATTCCGGCTGGAACACCTCGGGCACATGTGACCTTGGGAAATTCCTTAACTACTCTTCCCTTAATTTCCTTATCTATAAAATGGTGAAGATTATGGCAGGAATTAAATGAGTTAATGTGCCTGGCACATAATACAAACTGTTAGCTGTCCATTAGTATTTTCATCCACTTACCATATCCACTTATAATTTTTGCAGAGAAACCATCAGCACAAAATAAAATCAATTACAACCCAATTTTTTTCAAAATGTGAAGAGATACCATTTTATAAAAAGGTTCATAGGACTCCCCAAATTAATATAAACTTGGCGCAGATTTATCTACCCTAAGCACATGGAGATTCTTCCCAGCTCCCACACTCCTTGCCACCCGAAATGCTCAAGGGGAGTCCTATTGTATTAGAAATGAACTTGCTAATCACGACTTTGGACCTGATCCTTCCAAGGCATGCTTTTCAGGCACAGGACTGGTAAGGAGATGGGTCCCCTCCAGAAAATGCTGAGAAATGGTAGCAAACAGAAATCCCTTCTTCGGTCTACTCCTCACTGCCTTCCCTCTGTGGGAGATGAAGCATTGCTCCCCGCATGCCATGCACATTTGATTGCTAGCTTGCTGGCACAACCCTATGATCCAGTGTGTCCAGATAGATCCAGATTTCTCCCTCCATACGTTTTCTCTCTCTGGTTGGTCCTGTCTATAGCTAGAGATGAGCAAGAAGCATCCATCGGCTGCTCAGGCCCTTCATTTCCCATACCTCTGCTGAGTGAGATCTGGAGAAAAGATCTCCAGTCAGTAGCTGACACTCCCCATCACATTCTCAGCCTTCACATGTGAGGAAAACAGCTAATCAAGGAACGCTACTGAATTCCATTTATAAGCCACTTAGCAAGTTATGAAGCTAGAAGGGTCATTTCTGTGGTCACTGTGTTAATGTTACAATATACACTGATCACCTACTGGCTCTAGGAAGTGAGAATGATACTTTCAGTTCAAATCTTAGTGTCAGGATTTAATATCATACAGGAAGAAACTCTACACCTTTGCTGCTTGTCTTAGCCAAACAAATGAGAAACTGACCACCCCCTGTAGGCTGAAATGGGTTAGAGCAGATCTCAACTTCTGGAATTTTTAGTTGTGGAACCTTTCCTGGTAAACTATTATTTTAACATCAATACTCTGGAAGGCAGGCAAATTTAAGACAAGAGAGTACACTAAATCATAGACAGGGTGGCTCACACCTGTAATCCCAACACTTTGGGAGGCCGAGGCAGGCAGATCACTTGAGGTCAGGAGTCCAAGACCAGCCTGGGCAACATGGTGAAACCCCATCTCGACTAATAATACAAAAATTAGCCGGGCGTGGTGGTGCATGCCTGTAATCCCAGCTACTTAGGAGGCAGAGGCAGGAGAATCGCTTGAACCTGGGAGGTAGAGGTTGCGGTGAGCCAAAATTGTGCCACTACACTCTAGCCTAGATGACAGAGCGAGACTCAAAAAAAAAAAAAAAAAAAAAAAAAAAAATCATAGACACAGTGACAATGGAAATATTTATTGCTGCTGGTTGGGTCTGTCATTTCCTAGAGGACATAGCTGGCCAGCAGATTTTCATTTCTTTTTTACAAAATAAGCAAATGCCTACTTTATTATTTACACACAGAAAATTATATAGAAACACCACACAAACTGCTTGAAATGCAAATATTTTTTGGTTTACTCATCAAAGTAAAAAATAACAAAAACCTTATCAGTTAAATAAAAAAGTGACATTCTTTATCAAACCTTCTTAAACACTGAAATGCATTCATTTTTGTGCTCATGTTCTTTAGAAATATCATTTCTCCCCTTTTGCCCCTCATTCTCCTAAATTGTTTCAATGAGTTCATCTGTAAAATGAAGATTGTCATCTTTCTTAATGCTACTTACTTTTTATTATCTCAGTATCAAGACCAATCTAGATTTTTTTGTCTCCTACATATGAAATGGATGTAAAAAATGAAAAATTCACCAGCACATTTTAAGATAACATAAAAGAAGCCCTAAGCAAGCACTTCAAGGCAATGACACACCATTACATTTCTGAAAAATTTAAGTATCATTGGTACTTAAAAGTAGAACTCAATTCCAGAAGCATATTCTTATATTGGACATTATTCATAATAGATCATATACTTCATTTCCACAGTACTGATTTCAGATAAGCCGTTTTTTTTTTGTTTGTTTGTTTTTTGTCAAGGATTGACTACCTCAGACTTAAATCTTGAATGTCAATGACTCAATCTTTAACAAAACAGTCAGCTGTAAGCTGTAGACATGAAAATTGAATTGTTTCAAAAGGAGCAATGATAGCAAGAGAAAGTTCTTGGCATTTTAAGAAAAGTACATATACATAGCAAGAAATGAAAGTAAATCAAAATACATAGCTTTGTACATGTTAGAAATATCCAATGTGCCACCAACACAATGATTGCCCTATAAAAAAGTCCTCAGATCTGGAGCTATCTGTATTTTTCTTTGTGTAACTACATTTGCATTACCCAACCCCATATCTCTCCCATGGTCTGTTACCCGTTTGGAAGCTTTTAACCAGAATTTTTGGCAATATGCTTTTCTTCAAATAAAACAAGCCTTCAAATAAATCATTATGTCTGACAACTGAATTGGGCAAAGTCTTTCTGAAATATGTGTAATCTTTAGAAAATTCTTCTTTTTTCCTTCATAAATCAGCAGTTCCATCTTCAAATCAATCATGATCAGTCACAATCTTAACTCATGCTCTCATATGTTCTCTTCATCCAACATTTTGTTGATACCATCACATAGTTTTTGTAAGTGGGGTTTAAAATTCCCAAAAGGATTATACAAGGCAGCCAAAAAGTCACAATCTGAAAAATGATCAAAGACATTATTAACCCGTCCATGTGACTTGGCAGTGAGGTGACGCTGAATGATTTGGTGCAGCATCTCTCTGCATTCATTTAACAGCCTGGATAACACATTCCGGTCAAAGGTATAATCCACCTGGTGGAAACTGACCACGGTCATAGCAAGTTGATGAACTTTCTTCTTAAATTTCTCCATCAGTGCTAGCTCATCTTGATTAAACTGATTATTCCTGTAAAGAATGGCCAGCTTGATGACCGTCTTGATAAGGTTCTTGATGATCTTCTCTGCCTCCTTCTTGTTTTGGGTGTACTCCCTGGTCACTCTGTAGAGCTCATCCAGCACCTCACTACTCGTGTCATCTATTAAGGTGGTGGCGATGGATTTGGACACCATTTTACCCAAGATCTTCTTTTGTGCCTGAACGGCCAGGTTTTTGGAATTAAAGACATCTGTGGCCACTAAAAAAATAAGAGAGGAAAAGAATTAACAATTTGTAAATATCAGCAAGCGAAGCGAACTAAAAACAGGTACCAGGGAGCACTTTTTTTCCTCATTTTCCCACCATTTGTGGTTTGTCTTCCATCTACTGACATTAGTCTCTGTTCAGAAAAGAATTTTTGGCTGGGTGGAGTGGCTCACGCCTGTAATCCCAACACTTTGGGAGGCCAAGGTGGGCGGACCACTTGAGATCAGGAGTTTGAGACCAGCCTGGCCAACATGGGCATGGTGGTGAGAGCCTATAATCCCAGCTACTCAGGAGGCTGAGGCAGAAGAATTGCTTGAACCCAGGAGGCAGAGGTTGCAGTGAGCTGAGATTGCTTTACTGCACTCCAGCCTGGGTGACACAGCAAGACTCTGTCTCAAATAAAAAATACAAAATCAACTCTATACCTGTCATCTGGGCAACAGCAACCAGAAGCGACTTAAAAGAAATTCATTTAAATGGAAGAAGAACAAATGGCAAAGCTACAATATTGAGTAAAATGGCAGATTAAGCAAATCAACAAGGAGAGCCTTGTTTTATAATCCAGTTGCAAAAAGTCAAATTTCTCAAGACATTGGCCAGTGCCTACCAATTTGGCTGTCCTAAGTACCTTGAATTTCAACCTCCAGAGGTCGAGTGTTGGAAAGAAGTGCTCCTTGGAGAGCGCATTGTCACTTGCTATTTCTGATGAATGGCCATTGTTTGCTTTACATTTTTATACATTTTGGAGAAATGACCTTTTTCATGAGCTCATGAAATGTGCTACATGAAAAATATACTTTGAAAAAGCTGTTGCTTAGAGTTTACTTTTGGAATTATAACTTCTGACAGATGTTTACAATGTACATAATAATGGCTATATATATTAAATATTAAAGAGACACTATATGTAATCTTCCTAGCTTAGAGCTGGTCAAGTGAAAATGCTCAATAAATGTTTATTCTCCAAACCAAGTTTATTTCTTTCTACCACAATTTTCCCCACTCCATGCAGGTAGCAATCTTTTTTTTTTTTTTTTTGAGATGGAGTTTCGCTCTTTTTGCCCAGGCTGGAGTGCAAAGGCATGATCTTGGCTCACTGCAACCTCCACCTCCCCGGTTCAAGTGATTCTCACACCTCGGTCTCCAGAGCAGCTGGGATTACAGGCGCCCTCCACCATGCCCGACTAATTTTGTATTTTCAGTAGAGACGGGGTTTCACCATGTTGGCCAGGCTGGTCTCTAACTCCTGACCTCAGGTGATCTGCCCACCTCGGCCTCCCAAAGTGCTGGGATTACAGGCATGAGCCACTGGACCTGGCCCATGTAGCAATCTTTAAACTACTCCTCTACAACTGTGCTTTCTCTTGCTTCTCCTAAGGCTTAAGAACTGCAGTTCTTTGGGTGTCTACTCCATCTCTGAGTCGAATGGCAACTGTTCTCTCCATATATGCCGGTGTTTAAGCCTAGGCCTGGGTGTCGGAAAAAAATCATTTGGTAATGAAAGATTAAAAAGTTTAAAAATACAGATACATACAAATGAGTCAAGGCATCAATGATTATATAAGATTATTTCTAGTTTGGATGGGCTAGCATCATTAGGAAGCAAAAAGGCAGCTGCTTCAAAATCCAGACTGGGAGGACATATAAGAAGAGTGACTCCTTTAATCCAGAACTGCCATGTTGGATTTAAAATTGGGGAAAGGTGGGGTGTGGTGGCTCACACCTGCAATCCCAGGACTTTGGCAGGCCAAGGTAGTGAGAGGATCGCTTGAGCCCAGGAGTTTGACACCAGCCTCAGCAACATAGTGAAATCCCATCGTAACAAAAAACTACAAATAAAAAAAAAAAATTAGCCAGGTGTGGTGGCGTGCACCTGTAGTCCAGTTACTAGGGAGGTGGAGGTGGGAGAATCATCTGAGCCTGGGAAGTTGAGGCTGCAGTGAGCCTTGACTGTACCACTGCACTCCACAGGCTGGGCAACAGAGTGAGACCCTGTCTCAGAAAAAAATTAAATTAAAATTCAGTAAAATTGAGAAGAAGAACCAAATCAGATTTGAAATTTGGACCAAAGTAGTTCGTGGTATATAGTAGAGGTAGCTACTATAAAATGGTTCCCTATGGCCCGAACATCTTTTAGAAATACACAGCGCCATCCACAGTGCCATCCACTGAAAGAATGTCTTCACTGATTGAGAAAGGGTCCCCTCACAAATGTCGAAATTTACACTTCTGAAACATGAACTGAAACTGCAGAAGAACTAAAATATATTTTGAAAAAGAGAAGGAAAGTGAAAATGTGTGAGAAACAGCCAACTTTATGTAGAAGTTTCCATCATTTAATGTTTTATGTTTTTATCATTTAAGCAGAAGTCTGTGTCTATTTCTATTCTTCAATTATTTGCAAAAGAGTATAAAGATTAATTCACACTAAAGAATTTATGTCAAAAGAAATGGCACCCACGTCGCTAACAGTACCACATTAAAACCAGGGACCATATTTCATCTCAGAACTCCTGATATAGACCTTGAAAAAAATCAATAAACTTGATTTATATAGGGATACCCAACCACTTTCAGCTACACAGCAAGTAAGTAGGATTTCAGTAATAGATTTCATATAAAGTTGAAATGTTATTGTGTTTTTAATGTTTTAGAACATGGCACAGTCTACAAATATCTTACCTGGGATTTACTACAAGTCTATGAGTTGGACATACTTTATGTTGTGAAATATTGAAACCAGAGGGAGAGATATTCATAAGATTTCTCCTTTATCCAAGGCTGGACTTTCACGTTTGCACCTCTTCTCAGCTACTTTTCTGATTAAATCTTAATATTCCATTTAACTTCAAACATGGAAAACAAAAACTCTATGACACAGCACTTCAACTTCCTGCAAGACAGTGTGTAAAAGGCAAATCTACTGCCAACTAAGCAAGATCATTCCCCGTTTACTGGTAATCAAGTATGAATCAAGATAGAGAAGTTGATCTCTGAGGCTTTCATATTTGTCCTAGAGGAACTTCAAACCCCCTTCCAGAAACAGCAGCTGTGTCACACTTTCCTTTTATTCTTTGGGTTATTCCAGTAAAGTTGTCTTTTTAAATGAGGTTGAAGCTCTTTGTCCCCCTCCACCATCTGAAGCTCTTTTTCCCCCTCCACCAAGAAGACATGCATGAGTAGATTTATTTTCCAGCATTAGAGAAAGCTTTTTTGAGCCAATTGGGGCTTGTGGCTGAGAGTCTCTGGCCAGGGATGTGTGGTCTGTGCTCATGAAGTATGTTTCTTTTTCTTGCAAATTAACTGCTGTTAGTCATTCCTGTTCAGGCTCATTGGTCAGTTCCACATGCTCTACCAGATCCCTTAAAAGTCTGGTGTATCTCAGAGCTAGTCCTAGACCAAGTTTTTCTCCTTCAGTCTATCCTCACCCCTGTGTGATCTCATCCACTCCCACAGCTTCAGATACCACCCAGGTGCCAGTGACTCCCATAGCTATAACTCAGCCCTGACCCCTTTTCTGGACTCATTTTGTAAATACATTCAAGATTTTTCTTTTCCTTGGCTATTTTGCAGGCATCTCAAATGTACCATATGCAAAACTGATCTTTGATTCTCTCCTGCCTCCCTACTAAGTGCTCCTCTTTCGCTCTTTATGATCTCAATTAACAGCATCCCCTCCAACCTTTTGCTCAATCAAATCAGAGACTTAGGGATCATCCACCATACCATTCTCTCCCTTACCCAGTCCATTATTAAGTTCTTTCCATTCCACCTTCCTCCCGCATTTCTCTGAATTCTATCCATTTCCCTCCATCTCCATGGACAGCAGCCTAGTCCAAACCCCTTTTCATCTATTTTCACATATCAGCCAGTTTCAAGAAATGAAATTTGCAAATGGGGCCAGGCGCAGTGGCTCATGCCTGTAATCCCAGCACTTTGGGACGATAAGGTGGGAGGATCACTTGAGCCCAGGAGTTCGAGACCAGCCTGGGCAACATAGCAAGACCCTGTGTCTACAAAAAAAACTTTAAAAAAATTAGCCGGGCATGTAGTCCTATGTACTCAGGAGGTGGGAGGACTGCTTAAGCCCAGGAGTTCAAGGCTACAGAGCGGCAGTGAACTATAATCACACCACTGTACTCCAGCCTGGGCAACACAGCAAGACCCTGTCTCAAAAAAGAAAAGGAAAAAAAAAGATGCTTCACTTAAGTTCTTTGCTAACTATTGCACCTCCTTGCTCCTTAAATCCTCATCATTTGCCTACATTTTTATTGCCTGCTTCTCCTTACTGGGATTTAAACTCTGAGAGCAAAAATTCTGTGTATCATGTTCACTGTGTCATCTTGCAGGCCTAGAAAGTGGCTGGTCCAGAAGCAGAAATCAATTTCCCCTATCTCGTCCACAATATAGTTAAATACTTCTCTATGAAAACATGTTGGCCTGTAAAACGAGAGTTGTAAATACATTAGTGGGTGTTTTTATTTGTTGTATTAAAAGGTAGAGAAACAGGTATTTGTTTTACATCATTAAACATGTGGTTTTTCTTCCCTCTAAGTGCACTCCAGAGTATGATTTCTCTTACTGATCAACCAATTCTTTTAAAGAGGAGAGATTTGTTGTGCACAATGGGAAAACATCCAAGGACAATAATGCAAATATTTAGAGTAAAAGCAAGGTGTAGTTCTGACTTGAACTGTAGTAGGAGATTAAACACAGGCCCACCTCTGCTTCTGGCTGAATCTATGTTTAAACATGTGCCAGAGGGATAGACCTAAGGCATGTCCTGGGAAGTAACTAAGATGTAAACAGGAGATGTTCCCCAAGGAGAAAGTGCTGAAAATATTCATTTGGTTTTTTGCCTCTTAAGATGAATTCACGTGTGTTTGGAAACAGACATGTAAATTGTTCATTAATGAAGAAAAATGCTGTATTAAAAAAAAAAAAAAACATACAAAGCGTTACCACCACATTAAAACTGTTTACGACTGTTTT